GAAAGTGACCCAGATCAGATTTGAAAATATCGGATTTGTGCCGTTCACACTGTCACACCATGATCGGATAGATGGTCGCAGAGGGTCAAAGAAGTCGGATTTGATACGCTTTCACCTGCAGTGTGAACGTAGCCTTGGTGACCGGCCGTTAGCTTGTAGCGTGTTGCAGCTAGAATAAAGCTGCTCAGGGATGGATGTGAATTTTGTGAAGTTTTCTTTATAGAATTATTCTGACCAGACGTTGTTTATCGTGGATCTGCTGAAACGGCATTTTATCATCTCATCTCTTTAATTAGACGTAGCTCCTGCAGAAACAGGATGTCAGGCAGATCAGATTGTTCTGCTGTGTAAACCGATGTGACGAGAAGTCAGGCGCTTTGAAGTTGGGAACTATTTCGATATATTTTGAATCTTTATAGTGCCGATGTGCCTTCCTGCCTCCCAGAAAGCAGAGAAACCGTCCTGAGAGTTTGTACAGATGTGTCTCCTGAACTTGGACACGTCTCAGATGTTTTCTGTACTTTGTTTTCTGCAGTCTTTCTCATCCAGCTATATCAGGTTTAAGTGCATCAGTGGTCCGTTTGCACCGTGACAGAGGACGGTGTGCCCTCTGTGTGGATGATGGTTGAGTCAGCACGGCATGTTCACCTCACTTACGTCTGTGTTGGCGATTCGAACAGTCGTGTGCGCTCTGTGCTCAGACTGGATGCTGCTATGAGACACATCAGCAGTTTCTCAGGGATAGTTTGTTTCCAGTCTCTGAGCGTTACGATGCTGCTCACGTCTGTGAAATCTTAGGAATGAGTCGGTGGAAAGTAACAGCACATTTATTAGCACACACACAGCTTACTGTTGGTACTACGTTGTTCCTGGACTTCACTGCATGTCAAAGGAAAATATATTTGAGGAAAATGTTGTTTACTTTTTAAATTTAGACGATGAAAGATTTTCAGTTTTAAAACTTTCATAAATTCATTAAATATAACATGTTGTGTTTGTGCAGCTCGCTGTCACGGTTCATTTTGTCAGGTATGTTCTGAGCATTCTGCTGAAGTAATCAGAGTACATCAGGAAAATGTTGCTATTGTTCATTTTTAATGAACTGGTTTTTATGTTACCTAAGGAATGTGACACTTTAGCCTAGCTTAGCATAAAGACTGTAAATGTTGGCTCTTCCTAAATGGTTAGCAGTCCACTTCCTTCCTGTAATGTTTGTCTTATTTATTTAATCTGTCCAGGAAACAGTCAGAAACTAAAAGTTGTTGGTTAGTGTGGGGAAGTGAGTATTTCTGCTAATTGCTAAGCTAGCTCTTTATAGTCTTAAATGAGGTTTTGGTGCTTGTTTTTGAGCTTTAGCATCGTGTTAGCACACACATTAAAGCCTCAGTGCCATCTACTGAATGGCAGCGATGCCTTTGTTCACAAACAAACAGCAAACTTGTTGCTTTTCTTGCTAACATAGACATAGATGTCCCGGTCGCACTAAGCATGTGTGGCTGTGCTGAGCTTTTTGCTCTCATAGCTGGACCAGGACTTCTTTATTAGCAGTTTATACATCAGAAAGTGTTCAATAAACGACATGTTTGGAGAGTTTTCAGAGATATTGCAGACGAACATTGGTTGTGATTCTCGACCTGCATGGCGGGTGACGTGGGGGATGGGCATTTTGGGCAAAAATACAGTATTCGGTGATAACAATGATAACAGTTCTCCAAAGGTTCCCGCCCCTGTAGCCCCACCTACTCTACAACAACTGTACATAATTGTGGCACAGCTGTGACCTGCGAGCTTCCCGTGGCAGAGCTACAGGGATGTGACGACTAAGCACAGGTGAAAATAAATGTATGTGCTTCTGTTCCAGGCTGTATGCTGTGTCTTGGCCAATCAGCCTTCTTTCGCTTCAACCACCCTGAGGAAGCCTTCAGGATGAAGAGTATGATGCCCCACGGAGGAAGTGTCTCTGCTGGGGACTACAGACTCTGTGCAGGTACTGTGCTGTTATTGTGGGGTTTCCACACACATACGTAGTATATCCTGTGTGTTGTTACTCACTGACTCCACACCTCGCAAACACAAATCACTTTGAAAGGCTCAGCACCGGCACTTTGTCCAGAAAACAGAAAGACCTCGTTTCCCCTGTAAGAAATCTCGTTTTCAGCTCGGCCTGCACGGATGAAAGGAGCAAGACGGTAAAAAGGCGGGTGCTGGAGAGGTGTAGTTTACAGGTGGCTGCTTGTACTGCAGTAAACTCCACACAAGGGTGGAGCAGCAGAAGTGGGACGCCAATTTTTCTTTGTGTGTTTGTTGGCTTTTTGAACGTCAGCTGCTCTCAGTGACTCTGGTGTTTCATTAAAAAGACATTTTATATTTGCATTAAAGAGAGTCACAGACTGGTCAGAGTTCTGTTTGCAGCTCTGTTATCAGACCCTCGTTGTGGGGAGGGGTCTGTAGGAGCCCAGAGCCTGAGCAGGCCCAGCTGGGACCGAGTTCACACCATGCATGTTTCATCTCATTCCTCTGCGTCTCCAGGCAAAGTGTGTGTGTGTGTGTGTGTGTCCACAGCTGTAAGTGTACCTTCTCTTGGCAAGCTATACTTCCAGGGATCTGTCACAGCATCTCGCCCCCCCGTCCTCCCCCACTGTTGACACGGCGTGCCACCAGGGGATAAGTATAGCACACAGGCTGCCTGCTCTGGACTTCCTGATCCACTAATGAAAGCCTTCCGTTGTTTAGAAACGTACCAATTACACATTCCTGAGCTGCGTTCAGATGAAGATAGCTTATACCACTCCCACGATAAACGGAGCATGTCCGCCGTGTCAGCTTGAAAAGACTTGAAAGTAGTACATCTTATCTTTGTGTGTGAACTGGTGTGTGTCCGCTGTGAGTCAGTGTCAGTTTGTAGCATCCACTGAGTGTGGTTCGGCTGAATCTCTGCGATGTACAGATGCAGTTTGTGCTCCAGGATCAACAAACTGTAGTCACTTCCTGTCTTTACGATACCTCGCAGCATCTCTCCAGGTTCATGGTGCAGATAGAGTCAGCACAGGTGTGAAGGCGGGACAGAGCGCTGATAGGCTGAAGCTCCACACATGGATGCACATAACGTGTATAAACTGTACACAAAAGATGGAGACAGTTTGTGAAATGTGAAGCTGCTGTACGAGTATGAAACCTGCA